TTTATCTCAGCCAATTTTTCCCTTAGAGAGTTTACTTCTTTTTCGAGTGAGATGACTAAATCCTTTTGAAGATTAAAGCCTCCTTTCATGGTCTGAAGTTCGTTAACAACAACTTCTTTAAAAATTCTAAGTTTATGAAGTTGTGTTTGCAATTGTTCAATAGTGGATTTTTGTTTAATCTCTAATTCTTTCAAGAATCTGACTTCTTCTTTAACTGTATTTTAGAGATTATAAATTTGTGAAACAAATTTTTCTAAGGAAGAGAATATTTTATTATTATAGAATAGATTTTAGCTTAATTTACATTATATTAGTATTAGTTACATTTATTAGTATTTAATTACATAGTATCCTTTATAGAAAATTGCTAAATCTCACTGCAGGTGATCATCACCTCAATGTTGTACAACATATAGATTAGTATCGTAACAAAAAAAATCATTTCATTTAGTTTAGAGTAAGGGCCGTGGCCTATGATTAGGGTTAGTGTAGGACTCAGATTATATACAAAATTTAGCAAAGAATTTTTTTTATTAGAACCCAAAAGATGGTTTTATAATCGAATTTTTGAGATATTCATGATTTTGAAAAAATTCTTTGTTTTTATCATATAAAATATTACATTTGATCTTACAATTTTATTGGCTAATTACACACTGATACTAATCACTTGTAATGATGTTTAGCAATACTTTTTCTTATAATTGTATTATTTTACATAGATTTTTTATAGTATAAAAATTTATTGAAGATATTCATCTCTAAGAAAAGTATCTTAAAAAGTATTTATAGTGAAAAATACCTTTAAATAATTTTGTAGCTAAGAATAATAGCTACATAATAATATATGTTTTATCTAAAGTTATTTATAACATACAGAGAAACTACAAGTTGTAGCTAGAAAATACTATATTAAACTATATTAGACTGTACTGAACATTATGTTAAATTATGCTAAATACTATGCTAAATACTATACCAAATACTGTACTAAACTTTATATTAATACTATGCTAAACTATATTAAAAAACTGTATTAAACTGTACTAAACTATGTTGAGTACTATATTAGACTATTAATAGATACTACTTATCTGTTGCTTGTACAAATATTTAAATAATATTTGTACAGATACTTATATAATACTTTGCTAATATTTATATTGTTATAAAATAAGTTTCATCTATTTTATTTTGTTATTTATTTATTATTTTATTATTAGTATTTTTATTATTATAATTAGTTGATTTTTT